ATATATTTATATATAGGTATTAAAAATTATGTTGATGGCATAAGATACAAGCAAGCGCAGACGTCACACGTACGCAGTCCTTTCAGCTATGATGATGCCTTCTGCAGCAGCAGGTGAAACTCCGTCAGCTTGCTTGATACATGATGCACAGTAAATTCACAGACCTGAATGCCAAATATCAGTGATTAAACTGCACGCTTTAGCTCGATGCAAGAGATATTGCATATTTTCCTCAACTGTTATGAGCTTTAGGAAACATGTATCAAAAAAACTATAAAATGAAATTGCCTTTCTAGTGTCTATAGGATCTGGTGAGCATTATGTTTTCAAAGCACTGCCTTTCCTTTTGTAATGAGTACAGATTTAGTCTACCATAGCTTTATGTTAGAGTAGATTTCCCAGTGCTTACATTATATATATGTGTATTATGCACACACACACATATATAGATACATAGTTCATATTCAGACTTTATTTCGTTAAAATAAATTAAACATACTTCCTTTTTAACTGGGCACAAAATGAGAGCTACATCTTCACACACAAATAAGAAAGAAATGCTCTTCAAGCATATTATATGCTTAATTTTAAATTATTTGCTTTCTATAAGAAATCTATAGGACTTTGGCTATTCAGAATTAAAAGGTAGATTTTTAATGATACTTTTGAATTTGGCTTTCAAAAGTGACTCAATAAAATGCTACTTTAAAGGTAGGACTAAATAGATGATATAAGGTGTGTGTCGTGAGTGATCACACAAGGCAGACAGAGGGCCTTTGGTTACAAGGAGAGTTGCACCAGTTGATTATCAGTTAAAAAATGATAGAGTTGTTGATCTATACATTTTTGTCAGTGCCATCTATAAACCAAATACATCAATTTGGATGAGAGTGTGGTAAATACTACGCTATATGGCTATATTTAAATACGTTCACTTTCGTGATGTGTAAAATATGACTTTTTTTCCACATGAAAGCATCAGCTCTAAAAATATTTAACTTGGAAATCACTGTTACTTACTTTATCAAAAAAATTTTCCCTGATTTTTCTTCTTTTTTACATTTGTGCTGATGGCAGACATGAATGATCACTGAAACATAGAGATTATGTTAAGACTGTTCTCTTTAAAATTTCTCATTGCTGCTCTATGGCATCGGAAAGCCACAGAATAAATCAGTGTTTAAAGCTTATCTGCTGGAAAGTCACTTTACTTTTTCATGATGACTCAATCTTAACTAGTATCTCAGCAATTCATCAGTTCCTCTAAGTACACTTGTATTTACTATGGCCAAATCCTAAAGTCCTTCACCAGGCAAAGAGCCCGCTCAGAGGAACGGTGGTTGTGGCTGAGCGAAGGCAGAGTCAAAACCAACGAACCTCAGGAATTGGCCCTGCGTAAATACTCTGGAGAGTATCCTTTGCACGCACAGATGCCTTGAACTTATTTCGAGTACCTCCCGCGTCACTCTTTGCATGGCACGAGGTCTCTTGCGCTGCCGGCGGGCTAATTCATGAGGTGGCGGCTCAGGTCTTACTCGCGCCTTCCCCAGGGTCTTGCCTTGCTGGGACGCAAGGGCGACTTCTGAGTGTCCCACCACCCAGGGATGGGGTCAGCTGAGCAGAGCAAACTCCAACACGTGTACAGTTTTGTGCCAAGGAGAGACCTAACAAAGCTATTGTCGTAACCCATAATAGTTCCTAAAACATATATGTGCTTATTGCTTTTGTCCGTACATGCTGCATTCACTATTACGGATTACAGACAGAAGTACTGTACAGCTTGGACGGACAGACATTTACATTCAGGACTAACCAACGGCTTTTTTGTTACAATAGGAAGGAACAAAACGCAGCGGACTCGAGCAGCCCGGGGTCTTCCTCCTGCCCACGCGCCTCTGCTCCCGCATCCCGTGCCCCAGCGTGTCCCCGGACCTGCGGCACGCAGATCGTCACCCACCCGGCAGGTACTCGGAAATAGGTCAGGAAACGCTCGTTGACAGAGTTATTTACAATTGAGTTTTACAGTAGAAACAGAGAACAACAGAAAAGATTACCGTCACAGTCATCACAGGACAGGTTGTGACTTGCTACGGGTGTGTAACAAATCACGGGCACGACAGGAGGCACAAATTAAAATAGTGCTTGGTTAAAGTGCTTGATTGTTACACTCCGCTATCCTACTCCAGCATCGCAACAACAACAACAGAAAGTCAACGTAAAGTGCTTTTCCCCCCCAAGATTAAAAACCAAAGACAAATTATTTCCTACACAATTTGACATAACTTTATTGAAACAATAATATTTTAAAAACCTAGGCTGGTGGCTGCTAGTTCTGTTCATTTAAAATGGTCAGATATTTTTTTTTTCTATTTTTTCTTGTTTCATTTAAAAATGACTGGATGTTATTAAAACGTCAGGCCTGATTCTCCTGCCTCTCGCAGCTGCTTCGCGCTGCAGCTCTGCAGGAACTCTCCTGCCCAACCTCCTCGCGAGAGAGAGCACAGCCAGGCCCGGGGCGGGTTGCTAACGAATCCCTCTTTTTTGCATATTTATGTAACGCTTGCATATCTTTCACTGCACCGCTCGGGTGCAAAAAGCTTCAGACCGACCGGTTCCTCTCCTACACCAAGGGCGAGACTTTGGCTGACGCCCCAAGTCGGCACGCGGGCGGGAAGGGGAGGCACGGGGAGCTGTCCCGGCACCCCCGACACTGGCCGTGGGGGCCACCACCGCCGCATCCGGCCGTCCCTGCAGGGCAGGGCAGCCAGCATCCCCCTTCCGCGGAGGGGCAGGGTGAGAGGTGAGCTCTCCTTCCAGCCCTACGCTCCCCGGCAGCGGGAAGAGGGTCTGGCTGCGATGCCTCTGAAGATTCCTGCTTCTGCATGGCTCCTTCACACCTTCCCAACGGGGGCTGCGGGTCCCCCGAGGGCCACGCGCTGGCCCTGGGGCAGGTATCGATTTTTAGCAGAGGGTAAGTGCAGGTTTCACTATGTGCTAGGGGATGTTTGGAATTAGATACAAGTGGTGCAACTCACCCTGCTGATATTTCAAAAGAAAACGTCAGGTCCTACAGGATATCGCATGGTTAAACACACAGAGAGTATTTTAAGAATTGGTTTCTCTCAACCGTTATTTGTTTTAAATGGTTTTTGCTTAGATTTTCCAATAATGCAAGTGTTCCCTGTTACCTTTAGACATAATATCCATCAGAGAAAGCTGTAGGTGGGGAACAGCTGCCCTGAAGAAGTGGGCATTGTGTTTTTATAGCTTTATACTAACCCCAGCAATTTATTCCAGAGTTCAAATCTGGCTGCCTTGGCATCCTTTATGGAACTAATGCAAATCAGATGTTAACATTTCCAAAAGGAGCTCTAGCATTCAAGGGGAATGGATGCATATTTGGTCACATTGGCTTCACTGGACAACATGAAAGGAGATCAATGTGTGATCATGATTTGCAATCCTTATTTTTGACTGATGTGGGCAACGTCTTTAGAGTTGTTTCAGAGAAGGACATTTTCACAAACCCACACTGGACCTCCCCCAGACTTTTAGAAACAGGTGGCTTGTTTCAGCCAAGTTCATGCCATGCAGAAGCTCTTTTTTTTTGTGTGTTGACTGTAAAGACATTCCTTTAAACTTTCAGTAAGTTCTTTTGGAGCCCATCTCAGATGCTTTGATCATGTTTGTTACCATGTCCTCCACTGCCTGGTAATACATGGACTTCTGGGGAAATGTGATTTTCTAGTCTGACAGTCTCCTGATTGCCCTGGGTTCTTCCAGTGATACCTTCCATAGAGTAAATGCAGTTTTGCCCTATCAGCTTAGGGGAGGTGGGTAAAGCAGCAGCTTCTAGATGGTTCTTCTCTGTTCTATAAACATTGTCCTTTTGCTTTAGATAGCCACTGTTTGTAACATGGTACTTAGGGCTCACATTTCCGGGCGGACTCGAGTCATAAAGCAGCTGACCTTCATCATCAGTGTCAGCATCTATATATTTGTGTATACCAGCATCATGGAAGTTGAAAGCTATGGCTGTCTGCGTCTCTGGTGACTTTGGGGGTGTTCTCGCACTTGCAGTTGTGTAGATCGAGGTCTCTGGGCTCATGAGAGATCTGTCAGAGGGTAAGGAAGTATCTGTGGCAGCAGCAGCAGCTCCCCGGCTCTTGAGAGTGTCTGGATATATTCTCAGTACATTTGATGCTGGTACTAGTGTGCTGGTGTCCTCTTCCATGAAGTTGACTTTCAGAGACCTTAGTTTTAAAGGGTTACTGGCCTTTATCGAGCTTTTGGGACTTTCTATGAAGAAAGCAGAACGGTGGCTGCTTTCAGAGCTTGGGTTCATTTCCACAAATCTGGCACCACTCCCCTCTGGCCTGCTCTGCTCCTGAATCACGTTAATGCCACCTTTGCAGGGAAGGGTAGCGAGCGGGCTGTGGGAAAACCTCCCGGAGTCAGGGAATTCCGCTGCACAACTTATGAAGCTGTCGATGCTGGACATGCTCCTCATGTCAATGATCCCATCCGTGCGAGTCGTCAGCAAGGGCACCATAGGGCCAGGAAGTGTTTCCATTTCTAGCTCTTCCTTTTGCTTTCCAGGTTGAGTTGACTCTTTAGTGTTAAGGTTTGGCTGGGACTGAGTCTTTGCCATTTTGTTATACATGTCCTCTAGCTGTTGGACATTCAGGTGCTGTGGACTTGAAGATGACCTGGCTTTTTCTGGAGATATTTGTTCCTTAGTCTCAAAAGATTTACTAGAGCTAGTTTCAGAGAGCGTTCTCTTGGTCCATTTCCATTTGCTGGGAGATAAATGATTGTCCTGAACTTTATCCTTTTTGGCTATGCTTTCCCCATTCTTTTCAACCACAATGTCCATGAGTTCTATACTACGGGCAAACGCATCCTTCATGTTCATGGAAACAATACTGCCATTCCTTTTTGCTCTTTCAAGAGCTTCCCTGCGCTTAATGGCTTTCTCCTGCCTCTTCTGCTCTTTGTAGAACTCAGAGAAGTTATTGACAATAATTGGGATGGGAAGAGCAATCACCAGCACTCCAGCAATGCAGCACAATCCTCCTACTATTTTACCTAAAAGTGTTTTGGGGTAGATGTCTCCATAGCCTACTGTTGTCATGGTGATTGTTGCCCACCAGAAGGAAGCTGGGATGCTCTTGAATTTTGTATCATCCTCATCCTTTTCTGCGAAAAACACTAAACTGGAGAAGATCATAATGCCCATGGCCAAAAACAAGATGAGTAATCCAAGCTCATTGTAGCTCCTCCTCAGTGTAAACCCCAAGGACTGTAAACCCGTTGAGTGCCGGGCAAGCTTTAGAATCCGGAGTATCCTCATAATCCGAAATATTTGGACTACTCGTCGTACGTTTTGGAACTGAAGTACACTTTTATTGGATTCTGTGAGGAAGATAGTGACATAGTACGGTAAGATAGCTAGCAAATCAATAGCATTCAGCGGGCCTTTGAAAAACTTCCATTTCTTAGGCGAGGATAGGAACCGCAAGAGGTATTCCATTGTAAACCATGCAATGCACACCGCTTCCACATGGGCAAGTTGGGGATTATCTGTGGTCTGCCCAAATTCATCCATGCCTTGTAGTTCAGGAAGTGTATTAAGGGACAAGGCAATTGTAGATAGTACGATAAACATGATGGAAATGATTGCCAAAATCTGGAAAGGAAAGAGAAAACAGTGAGTTCATCTCAGAATATATCACGCTATCTATCATTGTCATTAACGCATGGCTGTATTTCCACTTACTTATTTCAAGACTAATTTTGCTCTTAGCACACAGAAGTCAGATAACCAGTGCATCCTGAGGGGATTTTATTTTGGAAGCTGCTTTAGTTATGTCAGATGCATAAAGGAGATAAACCATCTACTTCAGTTCCTGTGCCTTCATCTCTGTAGTCAAGGAACGCGTACCAAGCAGCTAGGATGCCAGGAGGGCTGTGAAGCAGTTCACAGCAGGAGCTTTTGATTAGCTACTAATTAGGTGCCCAACAAAGCCCATCTGGACAGCAGGCTCTGAAATCTAAGCAAGAAGGAATGCAATTGTGAATGCAAGATTTGATCAGAGCGATGTCCTCCATTTAATGCACAGTTACCCCTGTAATTTTGGGTGCCTACAGAGACTTGAGTGCTATTCTACTACATATAAGCGTACAAGTAATGCACTCTTTTTTAACAACTCATCTCTAATTTGGAACTTGACAATTGTGAAACACATGAAAGCTTTACCAAGCTTTCCAAAACCTTTTGAGCTCTGAGCTACTCTGCATGCAACTGACAGATCATCCTAGCTCCTCATCACAACGATAAACCCATCCAGGGAAACCAAACTGCACTCACTGAGACAGCCAAGGCACAGCAGGTCCAGCCGCGGGGAGAGCTCATCCACTATCAGAAACCAGCTCTTGGGCTAAAGAGCGCAAGGAGAGGAGAAGGGTCTGCAGTGAGCAGCTTCTCTAAAATCCCACATAAATCTGATCAGATCCTGGGCCACCAACTCTATGCAGAGCTGGAAAGTGTGAGGTGTTAGATTAGTGTATCTGCAGCTTATAGACACTAATGCTGTACTTTCCAGTTTCCCTAATTACATTTTCTTTTAAAGGTATTTTAGGTAAGTTTTAGAGCTGACAGACAATTTGCGGCTTGTTTTTTTCTACTGGTGAATTCTTTCTGTAGTTTGTTAATTGGGTAGGAACATATCCAGTTTCTTAGGTTACTGCAAAATACAGCAAAGATTTCAAAACACACGTATATGTGACTAATGCTTTATATCCTCATTTCAGTGTAAGTGGTCCTTCATGCTCGCTTTTCTTCTGCTTTATAGAAAAGCAGCATGAAATCAATCGCAACGTATGTACATGACGACTAGATACACAATATTAAACAATGAATTATAAAACATAAGACAAGACTTCTGCATCATAAACTGCAAATCTGACACACTCCTTCCTTGCCCATATAACTAGATTTTAGGTTTCCTCACAGTGACCTTTCTCAGCCAGCCTTACATTACCAGAATATCCACAGTTACCATCTGTGACACTGGAAAAGGAAATTCTTGCAGGATTTCTCTTCAGCCAAGCTCAGCAGAGACATCCTAGCAGTCAGGAAATATCAGACTTCTGAACATTTACCCCTAAACCGACAGTAACTACAGTGGAACAAGCCTTGCTGCTGTAGGAGAAACATACAGATCCAGTATGGTTCAGAAACACTGTGGTCTCCTCAAGAAGAGCCTCACCTCTACTCCAAAGCTGAAAAGCAGAAATGGTCTAAAAAGGCTGGAAGCTTCACTTGAATTAAATTCATATATAAGCTACAGCTTTAGGAGAAAAGCCTATATACCTTCAAAAAATCCAAATTTAAGGCAAGAGTTTCAATTTTGAAATTTTTATTTCAACAAGAATTTTTAAAACCACTTGCTGTTAAGAAAATCCCTTGCAGATCAGTGTAATAAAATAATTTACCCTTTAACTCACTAAAATGTACTATATAACTGTGACTTGTACATGACACTGCAGACCTAGTAATTTAATCTGAAGAATGAGATTTGACTAGAAACAAAAATTAGCTCCATTAAACACTCTGGTTCCGTTGTCTAAATTGGATTAAATGGAAGCAGTGAATGATGTAAATGGCCTTCTAGGCAATGCTCTTAATACTGGGAATTTTAGAATAACCTCACTTTCAGTTATTAAATTGTTACCAGGAAAAATGCTACGAAGATTCCTTTTCCTTTTTAAGCAGGTTGCCTAAAAGAATGCTTGTCGGTAGCTGGGCTGTGCACCCTCACAGTGCTAGTGAACCTTTTGCCTCCTCCTCCTCCTCACTATCTTCTTCTTCCATAAATTTGCTGCCAAAACACAAACAAGCCTACAACAACTTGTTCAGTGGGGGGTTTGCCTTGCTGAGTGAGTTCTCAGGTCAATGAGCCAAAGAAGCTCTGGGAAAGACTTGGGGGATGCAAAAAAGTAGGAGGAACCACAGGATGAAGAGAAGCAGAGAGGGATGCAGGGAAAAGTCCATGAACTGGTGGCTTCAAACTCAAGAGACTAAAATGTAAGTCAGGTGTCTCATGGTGAAGCAGGGAGAAAGGTAGATGTTACCTACTTCTGCATGGTTGTTTGTTTCAAAGACCATCTCCTGAAGACCAGGTAACACCCCTGAGAAGCAGGGAGCCTGATTTGTTTTCCTAGAAGGCTCTTTTAGTGTTTTTGCTGTCATTTCGTTTTTTTATAACCCAACATTTCTGAAGGTGTTTGGGATGTTTTCAATGATAATTTCAATTTTTTTGCTTGGTTATATCTCTGCCCACTATACACAGAAGGGCTTATTTGTAGACTTAGATGTACCCAGAGTGTTTTATCTCCTTCACTTTCAGTGTAAATATTAACACTCCATCTTTATTCCATGGATAGCATCCAGCAGCAGTAATTGGTGTTGAACCTTCTGTTTTCTTTGATATACCTTCCTGCTTTGAAGATCAAGGCAATGCCAGATGAACATAAATTTGAAAACTAGGAGATCTGAGGGTAAGATTTGCTTTTGGCTTAGCAGATTTAGCCACAGAGCGAAGCAATAAACAGAAAGAGACATTTATAATTTCTCCAGCAAGCTGCAGCAAGGTGTCACCTGTGCTCCTAAGATATAGATTTCCCGCTTGTTGATCTACTGCAATCATACATCTTTGGGAATCTTGTCAGGCTAAGAAAAACTTCTAAATGTGGTTTGACTGTCCTCAGGCACTCAAAGCACCTTTCAGTTGGAAAGTACAAAAAACTGGGAGATGAAACATCTCCAGCGAGGTTTAAAGGATCCTTCGCCTTCTCCAAAGCATACCTTGTTCTGGTACCATCCACCATCCAACAAAAACCACCCAAGGAGCAGTTGTCCATGGAAAACTGGATCCAGCTGCTGCTGCTGTCAGGCATCAGCAGTGCATTCAGTGGCACAGGGCTCTGTCCCAGGGTACTCAAGTCTGAGATTTCAGATTACAGAAACCACTGCCTGTCTGTCTGTCTAATCAGGTTTCCTCTCTTGGCCTTACTGAACCTCTAGCTTGGCAGCTTTCATATTTTCCACAGTCAGTAACAAGAGACAGAAAGCTGAAGGAAAGACATTTGTACTGCCAAGAACACCTCTGGAGGTGCTCTGCGTGGCAGGGAGCCTTTTCGTTGCAGTCCTGGCCTTCCCTCTTTCCTCTTCCACATTCACGCCTCTTGGACAAGAAAAGCCAAGGTCTTGCTGCTGGCTTATCTGGCGTATGTTGGCTTGTTGTGGGGGCTGGGGAAGGCACCTCCAATATCGCTGCAGGCACATCCATAGCTGCTGAGTTGGCTGCCCCATGTCTGCAGTTGGTCCTATAATACACATAGCTAAAATTACGGAAAAGCTTGCAGCGTGAAATTTGGAGGCATACGAAAAAGATTTGGAGGCACAAAAGGCTGAAATGACTGGTCTAAGGTCAGGCCACATCGATGGCACCGGCAGGTGAGGGAATCCCTGTACTTCTGGTGCCAGGTCTTACCGGGCAGGTATCCACATCAGCCGCTCATCAAGCTGACAGGGTTCAGGACTAGTTTTTCCCCACACAACTTTCAGACCATTTACTCCAGTAGATTGCATGAGAGAAGCTGTGTAGTCCCCTTCTTTGTTTCTGTATTTACTCTTCCATTTCACCTGCAGCATCACACCATAAATTGTGAATTTCCCCATCAGGTACTTTTCTAGGTGTCTTGCAGAGGGTATTGGATGGGCTCCTAATGACAGCACTGGCTCGGAGTGCAAGTCTCAGTATGTATGGGCAGGATTCCAGAAAAAAAACTTCTCTTCTGCTAAATTGACTGTTTCACAAAGATTTCTATTGAGTGAATCTCTGGACTGCTGCTACGATTCCTTTGTGAGAGCTAAATAACGCATGGACAGGCAGGGCAAGGTTTTGCATGAATTTAAAGCAGTTGCCTCAGAGCGATTAGCATGATTGTACATCCATGCTGGTTATTACACATGCTAATGAGACAAGCAAGCTGATTATGTGGGTAAGTGTGGCCAGTTTGTGGGCAACTGCTGCTTCCTAAGGCAGGATGGATGTGCCGTGCTTGCAAAGCCATTAATCCCCACCTCCTCCAAAAATTCCCCCCCAAAACCAGGCAGGCAACCTCTAGCACACCCCTTTCAGGAGATATCCCCCTGCACTGGCCCGATCCTGCGTGCTGGATGAGAGTGGCCCCGGGGATTCATCCTGGCTGTTGGCAAGGTCTGTGCTGTCCCTGGGGGAACAGGGCTCCTGCAAAGAAGCCAGGCTGATCGGTAATTTCCCGTCTCTCTCTTAAGCTTGTGGTGGCAGCAGTTTGTGGGCAGCACAGCTGTGGATGGCACCTCCCAGACAGCACAGAGCGGGGGAAGCTGTAGGCAGCAGGGACTAACCCAACACTTAGGTTTGGTGATATTTGTTTCTTGCTTATCTGTTCTTTGCACTGCTAAAGACCCTAACTAAGGTCAAGGCACAAGACCAGAGACTTTCAAGGCCATTAAAATTAATGAAAATTGGCTGTCCAGATCCCATAGGTGGCTCTAAAATCTCAGTGTAAGCATCTGAGATCTCTCTGCTCATGGCAACATGCCCTGTATTTTTTCTGTCTTGGTACTCAGTAATGAAG